AGCATGGAGACTTTGCGGTATATCACGAACGCTTCAACCACACTACAGCTCACACTCTCTGCTCATGCAGTAAAAGGAAAACCCCGTTACACTTCTTCTTCTGCAGAAAGGCAAAGCTTACAAAACACTTACGAAAGCCCACTATCTGAAGCCATCCCCTGGCTTCTAGGCATCCCCACAGGTGGTCTCGCACTAGCCAAATGGCTTGAATCCACCAAATTCTACACAGATATCTGCCCACAGCTTGTATCTGCAGCTTAAAAAAAAAAAAAAAACAAAGCCTCTCCTTCGTTTTCCCTCTACTTCCTGTATCTCCTTTTTCAAACAGGTACTCAAAGGGCTTATTCTCTCTCCTCCTCTTCTCCTTCCTTCTCTTTACATCTCTATTCTTCTCTTCTCTTTTTCTCTTCGTTCCTCCCCTTTCTTTAAAAAGGAAAAAAAAAAAAAAAAAACAGTAAATACACAAGATAATTCAACAAAAACGTATGAGGGGAAGGGAGAGTGATCAAGAGCCAGTGATCTAGTGGACGAGGAGGACCACAATATTAACCACTAAGCCAACCGGCCCCAAATCTGTCGCGAAGGCAATCATGTAAACCCTGCCCTAGCCCCTTTAAATTGTATATAAATACCCTCCCTAGCTAGCTAGTACACTACTCAGAGGCATACTCCTCTGAGCGTCATTTGTCCAAAACTGGAATAGATGGCTAAGGTTATCACGCGCCAAGGCGCGTGGGCCTACGGCCTATGACGATAAACACAATCAATCAATCAATCAAACATATTAATTCGATGAAATCTGATCGCTTTTGCACAAGGCCCAAGCTCTCCTAATTAGTCAGTTGTTACTATCGTAACACTCTGTAGGAGAGCTTCGCACTTCCGTAGAACTAAGATAATAGGTGATTCTTATAAAAGCCAATATAGCTGTGACGGAAATCCCTGCTTTCCTCCCACCCTTTTTATATAAGAAACCTCAGGTACATTAACCATGTCCACACATGATACGATTACTCGAGATTAGTATACGATTTAGGTGACCTGAGGATCAGATCCGGACAAGTACTAGGTATCAATGGTTATCGGTAAAGTAAGATCATTGGAGGGATAAATATGACTTCTTTTTGCCTAGCCATTGCGGCTAGGCCATTCATTTGTGTATATATAGAGTAGCTATCCCCATCTACAGGTGCTCTTGACCTGTAGATTCTAAGTTAAATACAATTGCTGGTCTATAAACACCCTTTTGGTCACATTATATAATAAAAATTAATAATTGAATTTTAATTATAATAATATAAATCACAATTTTAAACCAAATATATATATATATATATCTTTCTTTTATTCATCTAACTCTTTATTTATCTATCTACTAATATCTAAAGAAGATAAATGAAGATAATATAATATAAATCTCCCAATCTCCCAACCACACTCATCATATCGATCCCGATACCCTAAGCTAATATCCTCAAACCCC